TCAACGATTTGATATCTCATATCAGCAGGATTGCCAAGACCATTCCAGCAATCAGTGCCCAAAATTTCATACGCCTAAACGCCATACCACACCAGGGCCTCCGGTCCTGAGCTGCACTGATCCAGCCAGACAAAAGTTGGACACATATTCGTTCAAACATGGCGGAATGGGGAGCATTGGACTGATGACTTCCACCCCATTCCGCACCATCCCTGCCGTCCGTGTTTACAGTTTAGGGATGAAACACAGACTGGACAACAGCTAAAGCACATACAGGTTCGCTTATCTGGGTATCTAAATTAGCACTTTCTGCTTTCCCACAACTGACAATATTCGATTGTGCCCCTCTCATTGGCGGGCCTTTAGTGTCAAACAAACTTTCATGGTTTACATTTTTGTTTTTTAAAAAAATTTCCAAAAACTTGCCCTGCTCCCCCTCCCTCCCTGCATTCACTTTTTGTGACGGACGATGTAACCCGACTGGTAGGTAGCACATGCCAACACCAATCACCTGCTGTCGATGGTGCTCTCTTTCCGGGGTTTATAAGCAAGCTCATGATGGGGTTTGACTCTCTGGAATATTGTCAGTACCAATTTACTATCGAAACGAATGCAACGAATCGTACAGGGTGCCACATAATATATCAGACAATGATTTTTGATTTTTTGTTAGAAATGGCGTAAAGAACAACTGCGTCAATACCCCGGTTCCTGATTCAAACTCTGGACACCCTACCCTCGTTGAGGTTTTGCAATTTTAGTAATCTCTGACCCCTGGGGTATAAAAGCACTCCTCCTATCCCCGGGATGCCACAGCTAGTTCAACCCACATTAGAAGCCATTCTCTTCTTATCCCTGAGCTTCAGCTCCCCAGAACTTCACCGCTCTTTTGTATTGCCTTTTATTAATTTACGTTTCGTTGTCCATTTCGATCGATCCTGAGCCTGACGAGACCAGGTGGCACCATAAAGGCGCACGACTGGATCTCGGCATCGTGCTGGCGTGACATCAGAGATCGATGAAACAACAGCTGTTCAAGGTCAAGGTACGTTTCGTTGTATCACTTTAGTTAAACCATGTAATTATAAATACATGTATATATAATATTCAAATAACTAGATTTTTACCAGGCACACACAGGGCACGGCACTAGTCTAGCTTTTAAGCATTTTTGGGCCGCGATAAGGGACTGGGAGTCGAACCTTCGCTCTACTGCACAGCAGCAGTGCTATTTCGCCCTGTACTGGTAGTGGAATAAACAGACACACACGCCAGCCGCAGCTATACCAAGTCTGCGTTATGTGTCAACAGTCAGTGCTAAGACACCTCAGTAGCCCAGAATTGTTCGCTTCCCGCAAGAATGGCGCATAACTCTCCTGATCTCCGACTGTTTTCGGCACTGCCCAAGGGCCTTCAGCCAGCTAAATTACCCAATTTTGTCTCGCCGTGGGGCCACTGCCTCGCCTCTCATTTGCCCTCCCCCCCCCCTCCCCCCTTCGCTGACCCTTCCCAAACAACACCTTACACGTGGTACACCGCATTTACTCTCCGGGTAACACAAAAGGGCTTCTTTTTGGCACGTGCCTTCTCACTTCCAGTGAATTTCAAGACGACCCACGCGAAGATGACGAGGTACTGTCGAGGTCCAACAGTGGTAACGGTAAGAAATGTATGCGACTTAATGGACCGAAACATTTCTTACCTATAACAAATATTTCTTTATACCCTTTACTTATTATAATATCCTTTTTCTCTTCTTCCCTGTTTCCTTTGTCTCCTAATTTTTCCTTTTTTTAACCTTTAATAAGTGTGAGGAAAGTGATCGAGCGAAAATTAGCGCGCCGCGAGGGGACACCGCGCGATAGCACCACAAACCGGGAAGCCATAAGGGAAAGCGTGCGAAGGAATCAAGCAAACGAACCACCAACCGATTAGGTACACGAATTTACCGCGAAATGATAGACCAAAAGCGCTCACCTCCTATTTTGAATGAGACTCAGCCCCGCGGTGAGCACCCTTTGGCGCACCAGCATTTTGGCAGTTACTGAAACTCGGCTCAGCATTTTTTTAAAGTGTGGCCGGAATATAAACAGCTACTAAAAATCGGTTTGCTTCGTGGAAAAACAAAACAATAATTCTGCCAGCTGAGACGTTGCTTGGAGGCAAGAACTGGAGACAGACGCAAAATTTACAGGAAGGAAGCCCCTGGCGGGTTATTTTCGCTCATCGTGCAACTTGATTCTGAGGGAAAATTAACAGCCCCGAATGCAACCACCCAAAACCACACCTAAGAAATACACGGCGATTTTCGCAACTCGAACTCGGACCCGAAGGGCTAAAAACAAGCGCATGGTGCGCGGTCGTTCGAAATCGAGTTTTCGTTGGTGCTCTTGGAGGGTGTGTTTTTAGCGTGTGACTGGTGTACCCTGAGCCCAGGCTGGTTCTCGGACCCTGTCGAAAGTCAAGCCGGCGGTTGCCGTTGTTATCTCTGCAGTGTACACAGATTTTAGTGCGATGGAATTGTGCAGCTGCAGTTTTAACAGCTAATTAGGTTGCAGCCTCCAGGTCAATCCTGAAGGGAGGGGGAGGGGGGGGGGGGGGGGGGGGGGGGGGGGG